TCTTGAGTTTTTTTTTTTTTTTTTTTTTTTCCTGTTTGTTTTTTTGTTGTTTGTATTATGACCCTGTATGGTTTGTTTCCAAAAGTTTCGACAACATTGCTTGTAGCGACGCGGCGAAAACCCCCAAATTTTTTGCCTTCCATTAACCGCTAGTGCTTAAAAGCTCAACCCAAACTTCATCAAGTGATCGTCAGTGTATGAGCTGAAAACGAGTGTCCAGATTTCACCTGGGTTGCACAACGTTTTGCGGTGATGGAAAGGGATTATAACCACTCTCTACCACTTCTGCACTTCTCAATGACCCCCCTTTTCCCACAAAAGGATGCCCTGCACAATCCTCATTATCAACCTCCAGCTTAAGCTCGACCACAGGCGAGTTGGCTGCCTTGGCTCCCATGCCCAACCAACCATTTGAGAGGCCAATGGCCCACTGGTTCTCAACCACAATCCAGAAGAATACTTGAACCATTGATATTGGTCACTAGCGAGTCTCAGCAGTACTGGGACCATCAGAGTTCATAAGAACACTCTCATCATTGATGGAGGCCAGCCGTGAAACTAAGCGTTACTTTAACACAACCCCATCTCCGTTACGGGAAGCCATCTTTAGACTCATGGGAGGCAGCCTCTGACCGTTACAGATAGGCACGGACAAACTTGAAAACAAGCGGGTCAGTCTACTAGCAGCTCGGAAAACATCACAGACAGCTCCGCAAGCAACAGGATCAAGTTTCTAAATTTGCATGTCACAGATAAGTGAGTCTCGAGGTAATCACGTACGATGTCACACGAGTCAGTACAAGAAGATAACCTAAGAATCATCGCATGCACTCAGCGCAGCACATTCAGACCAACAGCCCAGGAACGGCCTTGAACGCGGCAAGGTCATCCTCAAAGATTATCGTCCAGGGTGAGACTGTGGGCTATTGGCATTCCCATTTTCAACAGAAAGTCTGAGCAATAGCTCCTGTCAACTGGCAACTGCGAAATCACAACTCCTTTCAATTTACCAAAAGCGGAAGCTGAGTTAGTAGCAGGCTATAGCGTTCCATGGTTTTGCTCTCTTTTTTTTGGGGGGGGAGTATGCTAATATGATTAATGAGTAGTTTATGTACTTTTTTATTTTTGGGTGGTTCGTTGCCCATCATGAATATGGCTATTCTTCATTGGCTTAAAGGCCGAAGGCTTTCTGTTTTTATACACTTTGGATTTGTGCAGCATTTCCACGATATCGTTATGATCAATGAATGAGACTCGGCAATTGCAAGTCATGTTCTGTCAACTTCCACTAACGTCGGTAACAAAGAGGGGATCCATAGAGTAAATTTACCAGTACCAACCTGCTCAACTGCTGCCCACTCGTTCAATGATGGCACTGCTCGCGGTAAGCCTTCTCTGACTGTTTCCTCAGTCCAGTCTTCAGCACTGGATGCAAGCAGCCTTTCGTGAGCATCATCCACCCAACCATTGGCTCTATTTTCCTTGCCTCCTCCAGTGGATAGGTCCCCATTCCCATTTTCTGGACCATCTTCATATTTCCGCGACATGCTCTCCCCATATTCCACCTGCACGAGACACGAAAAACGAAATTCACTTACATGCGTCAAAATTCAATTTGCATGTTCCTACAATAGTCCAATCTTCCTTGCCTAGTTAACTCTCATTTTTCTTCTGTTCACCTTCCCTTCCATCCACGTACTTTTTCCATTTATCAAGAGCCACATGCAAAAGCTTGCAGGCACACAAAGCATAGCATCTACTTGACAGCCCAGAAATGCCTTCATCCATGTCTTTCTCAAGCCAGTAAAAGCCAGTATCAGGACTGGCAAGAGCGTATGTAAAACCCAGTACTGTAAACGCATACGCAAAAGTCAGTACCGGGGCTTGCAACAGAGAAACACAGTCAAATGGCACAAAACGAGATGACACTACAAGTCATTTCGCTCTTCCCGAACTTGATGTTCACCGCAGAGGAAACAGAACAAGCAGGCCATAAAGCTAGTGCAGTACTTAATTTCTTTGCAACTGATTGCTGTCTGAGAACACGACAATGAGAAGATGTGTGGTTGTAGAAATGGATGGGTCAACATAAAGAATACTATCAGTCGAGGTAAATGAATACTATCAATCGAGACAGGAGGTAGCACAACCTGTGTAGTATAGATGCATCACTACTCATAGTGTCACTATCTATAAAACAAATTGAGCAAACTCGTGCACAACACAAGGTCGCCACACCTTACCAGTCTGGACGTACTGTACAAACACTATCACCACTCGTAGTGTCACTATCCATAAAACCAATTGAGCAAGCTCACGTAGAACACAAGGTCGCCACACCTTACCAGTCTGGTAGTACTGTATAAACACTAACCTTCACAAGCTTCCGTAGCCCCTGGAGACTTCTAAGAGCAGCAAGCCCCGCACTGGACAAATGGTTTCCACGCACATCAAGGGAGATCAAGTCGCTGGCTGAACCCCCAGCCAGAACGCCTGCTAGCACCTTGATTCCATCATCCGTGATCTTGTTATCGGACAGATCAATCGATGTCACTGTGGTATTACCCCTCAGGGCATCCGATAACTGCAAAACCAGAAAACCCGTTTCAGTACCTGCCACAAAAAAGAAGCCCACAGATAGAAACATACCAGTCAAAGAGGATTATGTGCTTTGGAGACGAGGAACACATCCTTCTTACTGTCGTTCCATTGCGCACCGTAAAGCTATAGATTAAACGAACAGCTGATATGAGCAGCTTCTACCATTCAGCCATAAAACACGACTGGCGGTTCTGAGGACAAGCTTTCTACAAGGAGGTGCAAGATGAGCTTTCTCTCCACAGATAAATCTTGTGTCCTCCTAAACCCCGTCCAATATCTTCTACAAAATCACTGATCACCTCAGACGCCGTCATCTACTTCCATAACTGCCCCACCCTCTCTCTCTCTCTCTCTCTCTCTCTCTCTCTCTCTCTCTCTCTCTCTCTCTCTCTCTCTGAATGGCTAATTGAGCGCCGGATTGTATCATCTGTACGTAGGATGTTCACAAGATTGGTCCCAGGCTACCGTCTTCACCAGAATACAACTTAACCCTCGTCATCAATGTATACAAACTATGTTTCCTGTCCAATATAGTCGTGATAAGGGTATGTTGTGTTCGGGGGAAGACGGAAGCAATGCTTATTCCGCTGCCACAGAGAACGAAAACACTGCAAAATCTGATAGAAGCCTGACGAGAGCCAGTGAGACGTGTCTCTAGCTATCCCACACGGCTATCCTATCCAAGCAGCGAATGTGTACCCGCCAATGAACCAAACGGCAACTCATCTCCGATGTTGTGCTTGTTCGTGAACTGCAACATCACCCCCCAGAATAACCAGCAAATGTGCACACTAGTCAACGCTCCTTGTTCCTGACCTTTTTCTTTCTTTTTCAAATCATCATTCAGCTGACCGGCCCCAGGTAATTCAGAATTATTTTATTTTGTTCATCTGATCGGAGCTGCATTCGAGCTTGGGTGTATCTGACTGATCGCGGCTGTAATTCAACAGTTCATTAGCTGTATCAACATAGGCCGAATCTGATCACAGCTGAATTTCAACAGTTCATTGCGTGTACCCCAACTGAGCTAGGCCTTCGTTGGTTCCTTAGTTTTTTCCAAATCAGTGCCACAACCAACAGTTCATTGGGTGCACCCCAACTGAGCTAGGCCTTCCTTGGTTCCTTAGTCCCTTTTTTACCATATTACAAACTTCTTCGCTCATTAAATCAAAATCGTAAGGATCGGAATTAAAAGGATTATTTGCAACTACTGAGATTTCAGGTAGTAAGTCTACTAAAGCTCTTACAGTTGTGGATTTACCAGTTCCTCACTGGGCCGTCAATTTGAGGTTTGGGGGTTAGCATCCCAACGGACATGGAAAGAGAGCGGTCCTGAATGTATCATCTATGTCCATGTAACCACCTCACGGAGTATATCTTGCGCCTAAAGCTTTCATCATAATATAATATCCGATTTCGAAACTGGGAAATTCCGCTATCGCGCCTCGATCTACACCAGAGAAAGAGGTAGGCTAGCCAAGCTATGTATACGTTGGTTAGGAAGAGGACTCTCTAATAAGCCCCACTTAATTGGAGACTTAGGATTTATGTAATACTTGTGAATTGAAATATGAGTAGAATGTAAATCAGTGCCACAACCATAACAACCACCACAACACGTTGTTTGGTGTATCATCCCCCGATCCACCTGCCAGTTTCTCCTGTCAAAGCATCCTGCCTAAGCATCTTGATCACCAGCAGTCTGGAATACCCCTTGTAAGTTGTAACACATCCTTCGAAACGCGCTTCACGTTCTCATATTCCAGTATACAATTCGGTACAAAGGTGAAATGGAGCGCTCTAGCGAAAATTTAAGCGAAGACAAGTTCTCGTAGAGTGGAAAACGAGCGTCATCTGCAACATGGTTTTCTTTTTTTTTTCTCTTTTTTTTTCTTTTTTTTTTGAATTTGGACCATTTCTCGATTTATGCGTGTCATCCTTGCGCAGGGGCCATGCTAATCTTCTCTGTATCGTTCCAATTTTCGTAGTGGAAAATATAAATAGAAAGGAGGTGCACTTGTTTAACGAAAATGTGCCGAACCCCCTGATCCATTACTGACCCATTGCAACTTTGCCATACTCTATTTCAACCCTTGTTTCTGAATCACTTCGTTTCCTGCGATCGTAGTTGGGTAAAAAAATATAAGGCGGGATTGCTCTGCTGCCATCAGAACTCGCCTTATCAAAGGCAATTGTAATTGCGCTGTTAAATTGCCAAACATGAAGACACACTTCTCTTTCCAGAATGCCACAGCGTTGCTCCAGTTAAAATTTTCACACAAGGTCCCGTCCGGGTTATTTTGGTCCATGTCTTGCGCTATGTCTGGTACCAATCATGTCAACGTCATCCCTTTACGAGTTGAGGTGCAAGAAGCTGTCTATGCCACGTCAAACCGCATCAGGACGTGGCTAGGTTCAGCAAGAACAGCATGTCAAGCTGCATAACCGTGCCATGCCCAGGCAATGAGATGAGTTCATGTCGCAGGTCATTACCGAGCGTATTCATTCTGATGACAACGATGATGACGATGGCGTTGAAACAGGATTCATGGACGTGTTGAAGAGAGCACTGAACTCACTGACCCACCCACCCACCAACCCACCCACCTCCATCATCACCTCCTCCGCCACCTGCTGTGTGCTTCCACAGTCCCTCATGGCATGCTGCCATGCTCCCCAATGAAAACAAAGAGGGGGAACAATTACAGCACACAAGTCGGAAACAGAACAAAGGCAAAACACAGCGGCACAATGACGACGAAATAGCGAGGTTGTGTATATTATGCAAATCCGCTCAAACTAAGCTCCCCGTTGAGGGAGATGGGCATTTCCCAAACTCGTCATCGACCCCCGTTGGCACTGCTCAATTACCGGCCGATTGAAGGGCATGAGTATTTCCCAAACCCTTCTACCCCCTTTCTGCGCCCGTTGAGGGGTGTAGGAGATCGGCTTTTCAATGTTCTTGCTTTGTCATCACGCCGGCAACGGGGTGCTCAGGGAACCAATGTGGTAGAAGGGGAGGGGGAATAGGCCCCAAACCTCATCGTAACCAGCAGGATTTGAACTCGCGGAGCCTCGTTCAACCACTCACCAAAAGTGCAAAATGGTGCGCTCATCTTCCCATAGAACGTGACAAGATACGGCATCGCTCCACTACACAACATTGTGCCCGCATTTGGACGCTTTCTGGACCTGATACATCCAAACTGTTGGACTCGTCCGAATGCATCTGGTCCAGAAAGCGACCAAATGTATGTACAGTTGTGTAGAGGAGCGAAGCCCAGAGTCTCCTCATTGCTCACATTTGGAGAGCAGTGGAGCGAGGCCCTCGATCAGTCTATCACCAGTTACATGTGTGTACCATTCGGCCACTACTCCCATATCCAATCCAATCAGTGACCGAAACAAATCCATGCCTCTAGGGCCACCCACCACCGAAGCAGAGCCCTACATTCCCTCCTCAAAATACATCAAAAACGAAAAGCCAACCATAGGGATCACGCTTTTCAAGCGCTTCGCTCACCCGCAGAGCAACTTTGATACTTACCCGTTTCACTTTCTTGTCTCCTATTCTGCACCTGCTAAGCTGAACCCACAAGCAGCCTTTCTCTGTTTTCAACTCCTCCAGTGCAGAGTTATATCTGTCAAAGAAACACAAACACTAGCTCATCTGTTAGCGGCGACCCAACGACTACCATAGCGATGGACTATTGACTTCACTAGGTGTCAAAGTCACTGATTCACAATTATAGTCGTCAAATTGGCAACGAAGGACCTTGTTTTTCTAAATATTTGACAGCCCAATGCAACAACGTGTCCGCCTTCTGCGTGTCAGCCACTGAAAGGGAGCTCAGAGGAAACGAGAGGGGGCAAAGAGAGCCATGGCTTCGGAACCCGAGTTGCCCCTGGTAAGGGAACCGAATTGCCGCCCCGCACAAAACCCACCAACGGGATACACTAAGTAGGGGGCTGGGAACAGAAAGAAGAGGGAGGGGGGGGGG